ATCCCAGCTAAATTTTAAGTAAAGTAGTGAGAATTGTATATGTGCAGACTATTAACATTGAAAATCAGGCTTTGTACAGTATTTTCAGTGTCCAGGTTAGACATCTTCTTCTTCTATTAGAGAAACCAACTTAAAAGGCCCACTAACCACACTTTCAAATATACCCACACTATTTGGGAGAACTCATCTCCAATTATGGCGGCAATCGAACCTACTACAGTCAGAAGGGTCTTTGATACACCAAGATTTTCCTCGTTCATTGATCCGACGGCTATGCCATGCTGATGAGCCCCAATAAGGGCAAAACAGCTGTCCATGGCTGCCACTGCCAGGGTAATATGGCTGTGCGCATGCGTGAGGTACTGCCCAGGCCGTGGGTTGGTGTATGTGTGCCCCTTGCTTTAAGTTTGTCTTACAGTCAGAAGGTCCGATCGCATCACAAAATCTTATCTTGATAAGCATTTACTCAAAGCCGATTGTACATCAACACTTCCTTTAATGTATTGCATGCAGCACTATTTAATACAATAAAAACATTTCCATACTTAACTCTACTTTGTTACAAAATTCTTAAGTGAAAGACACATTGCTTGCGTTACCGTTGTCTCTCCAGACCCGCTTGATACGAAAATAATCAAAAGAGTGCAAGTGTTCTTCTTTTCAACAGAAATGTCTCTTGACTTCAGCGCCTCAATGTCGGGAAGATTTCGCTTATTATATTGTCCATTGTCCCGTTAATATGTTCCATGATATTCTGCACTAATCGTAGGCTCGTTTGCATCCCCATCATACAAATTACACGTCCCATCATAGGCGACTGCATTGTCTGCTTTGTACAACAAAGGCGCTCTTGCATCTTTGCCTGCATCAAACAGCAAATTTGTTCCATTATCAGCATGTCCAATACAAAAGGCCCATTGAGTTGCTTTTTCATGGTAGACTCGGTATTTATCAATTCATCGCACACAGTTTTTTGAATGTAGGTTTTCAACGCATCGATAACTCTGCGGTCACTGGGCAACTCTGTCGGAGAGCCACTCATATCCATGGCTTTAGGAGGCTTCTCATAGAATACATCACCGGCCACTCTCAGCCACTGCCCTTCCATCGACGAGTCGTTGCTCGTATCCATGGGCTCTTCTTCGTCATCAACTTCGTGGATCTCGCATTCCTCTTCCATCGGACATTCGCTCGTCTGCATGAAGTTAAGTTCCTCGTGAGATACTTGAAACATTTTCCTTGAAAAGATAGAGTTCTAACGAACCGTTGTCTTGTAGTGCTGCTTATAACTGTTATGTGTCCCTATTAGTACCATCCTTTTATAACAACCCTGTTTGTTTTTTGTTTGTTTTTGTTTTTGTTTGTTTTTTCTGTTCGTCTGCTTAACACAACACATTCGTGTGGATCGGTGTCTACAGGCAGTGAGGGAGATACATAGTCGGCCCCTAAGCCTTCGATGACTATGATCTTGTCCATCTACATGGACTACCTGTAAGTCCGCAATGCAGGTAAGACGACCTTCGTAGTTCGACAGGCTCAGTGATGGAGGGAGGAACATAGTCGGCCCCTAAACTTTCGGTGACTATGACCTTGTCCGTCTGTATGGACTGCCTGTTCGACGAATTACAAATCATCTGCGAAATGGTTCACCGCTATCCTGGTCCCAGAGGTTTTTCCTGAAATTTTTCTTCGCGAAAGAGCGAGCGAGCCACGAAGCGGCGACATCGCTGACAACGAGTTGCGAAGCGGAGAGAAGAGAGAGGGGTTTTTTCCTCTCTCCTCACAGTTTCGGAACGGCGATCTGTTCATTTCCGGGAATAGGCGCTTCGAACACCAATTTTCATTTCGTGAATCAGTTGGTGCGCTACGTACCAATTTTCATCATAGACACCAATGTACAGCAGCCGTGAATAGGTTAGCCGGCAGTCTTCGTCGAAGGTAGATAAAGCGATCTGATTCGCCACCAATTTTCATCAAGGAAACCAGACGATCTGTACATTTCCGTGAGTAGGTTTGCCACCAATAATCATCATTGACACGACGGTATGTACAGCATCAGTGAATTGCTTTCGGCGGCAATTTTCGTCGTACGGTGATCTGTACGTCAAGAGGAGACAGGGCGAACTGTACATTTCCGTCAAACTGTTCGCCACCACGTTTCGTCACGGAGACGACGATATGTACATCATCTGCACGGGAAGACAAGGCGATCTGTTGAATAAAAATCTATAACCGGGTGGTTAAAGCAGGGCCGTCGCAAGGACGCTCTGGGCAGCTTCTCACACGGCAACAGTGCTGTCTCTGAAATGTAATCAACGCAGTGACCGTCGGTGATGACAAAAAACTACAACTGGCGTCGTCCGTTTTGAAAAATCAAAATTTGTGTCGTGATGTCTCTTTTATAGTGCTAAAGTGGCAGTCTATTTATAACACAGCGGTTACACAATCTTAATTTTTATAACGTCAGGATCCGCAAACTTTCTTATTGGTTAAGCCTGGTTTTCATATGTCGGGAAAATCCCAGACGATGGGGGCTTTCCCTTTTTGCCGACCGTAAAAAAGTCCCCGATCGTCTGGGATTTTCCCGACATATGAAAACCAGGTTTTAACAGCTAAAAATAGCTTGTGTTCTTGATATCGCGGATCTCGACTGTTTTTGCGATGTCGTTTCGAATTAATACATCTTTAATGGTCGTCAAGCACCAGTATATAAGTTGAAATTGAGTTGACGACCATAAAAAAAAGATGTATTAATTCGAAATGACACCGCAAAAGCGGTTGAGATCCGCTATCTGCTTATCTCACAATATCACGAAAACAAGCTATTTTTAGCTGCTATCCAATAAGGAAGTTCCCGAATGCTAAAATTATAAGATTACGTAACTTCTGTGTTTTAAATAGGCTGCCACTTGAGACATCAAGACACAAAGTTTGATTTTTCAAAACGGAGGAAGCCCGTTCTAGCTTTTGTCATCACGGACGGTCATTTCAGAGACCGCATGACTGCCGTGAGAGAAGCTGCCCAGAGCGCTCTTGCCACAGATTTTCAATCAACAGATTCCCGTGTCTACCCGTAGTAGAAATCGGCGGCGAACCGATTCGGGCGCAGATAATGTAAATACATATCGTCGTGTGCATGATGAAAATTGGTGGCGAACCGATTCGTAGATGATGTGAGATTGCTTTATCTATCTTTGACGAAGACCAGCGAAGATTGCAGGAGAACCGATTCACAGATGCTGTACTTTCGTGTCTATGATGAAAATTGGTACGTGGCGCACCAACCCATTCACGAAATGAAAATTAGTGGTGGTCGAAGCGATTCCCGGAAATGAACAGATCACTGTGTCAATTAGCGCCGAACTACCCTTTCCTGAGGGGTTTTTCTTGAAATTTTTCTTCGGGAAAGAGAAAGCGAGCAACCAAGCTGCGACAACGAGTCCAGAAGAGACGAGGAGAGAGAGAAAAAAACCCCTCTCTCCTCGCCGCTTCGCCACTCGTTGTCAGCGAGCAATGTCGGCTCGCTTGCTCTTTCGCGAAGAAAAATTTCATGAAAAACCTCTCGGACCAGGATGGCGGTGAACCATTTCGCAGATGATTTGAAATTCATTGAACAGGTAGCCTATACAGATGGAAAAGGCCGTAGTAACCGAAGGTTTAGGGGCCAACTATGTTCCTCCCTCACTGCCTGTCGAACTACGAAGGTAGTTTTGCGTGCATTGCGGACTTACCGGTAGTCCATGTAGATGGACAAGATCATAGCCATCAAAGGCTTAGGGGCCGACTATGTATCTCCCTCACTGCCTGTACACATCGACCCATACGAATAACCACGTCATTTGCTTATCAGAAGCAAAAAATTTTTCTTCGTGGTACAAAAGACAAATAGCTTGTTATAAATGCAAAGTATTTTTTAAAATACATTTCACATCTAACATTTAAAACGGGGACACGTAACAGTTATAAGCCGCTACTGCACAAACTCAGTGGAAACGTTTCAAGTACTCAAAGAGGAAGCTCACATGGAGACGAGCGAGATCACTGAAGTTTATCACGAAGAGCACGAATTAAGCCATGGACATCCATTTTGTTTTATATAGACACTACTCACCTAGACAAGCCTTTGCTATTTGCGCGTAGTGAGAAAATAATATTGTAAATATCTGAATAAACCAATAAATGAAATGAAATGAAAACTCATACCTGCTAGAAAGGCCAGCTGACTGAAACTACTTCTTTTGGTCTAGTCTACAATCAGGGACAAAAGTAGTTGACACACTTGTTTAATCAACAATTTCATTCATTTATTATGTTCATTTTCTTTAAACGCCGTAAATCCCCCCACCCCACCCCCTAATCAGTGTTGGCTGAAGTAAACGAAAGACTTGAGGGTCCAAAATACAACATTGATTTCTGGAGGGAAGGGGTTAGGGTACACATTGAAGCAGGCAATCGAGTTTGCTGAAAATCCGCTTCAAATAAGCTCCAATGCAAATCTTAATCAGACTCCGATTCCAACAATTCCAGTTTCTCTATTTGCTAAAAGCAAGAGGTCTAGATATGCTCTAGCCTGTTCCAGGCGTTTAAAGAGGGTCGTACAGGGGTATTCCCGTGATGCGTGATTGGCTGATTTTATTTTCCGTGAAACGTGAATTTAATAAATTATTCTTCGTGATCCGTGATCTGAAGGTTTTGCGTGACCCGTGAAGAACTTGAATTATTAACCGATATTCGTGATTTCACCACTCTATTTTGCGTGATTTTGAGATGCGAGTGCTCTGGAAGACTTATTTTAAGACTGAAAACATCAAATGTGACAAGTAAGAGACTTTGCTTTAATTAAAGTAATCCATTGTGCAAATTCACGTGCTTTACATGCCTGTCATGGATCAGATGTCTATTCCTATGCCTATGGTCTCCTATGCCACTGGAGATCAAAGGACAGTGATCCAAAACATCGAAACATCCGAGACATGGAGGGGACGAGTACGTATAGTACGATGAGGGTCGAATGTATTGAATTTTACGTTGACCCAAAGTCTGTCGGCTCGCTTAATTTTCTTGGAAAGGAACGAGTTCGCTTTCCAATTACAGATGAACATTCATCTTTGGCAGTGTTTACTAAAAAGTTCGCGGAATTTGCCGGATTAAAGGCAGAGGCTGAGAAACGTGGCCTCGGCTCCTGTGTTGAACTTAAATTTTGTCGTCTCGAAAAGGGAAAAGATGGCAGTAAGGCCTTTGCGATAAATACACAAGAGCAATGGGACAAGGAGAGGCCGCTACTATCAGGAAATACATCTTCATTACAAGGTAGGAATTTATTTACTTCTTATTAAACGACATCAAGGACCGTTCTGAAAGATACGGGCCGACTTTTCTATAGGTTAATAAGTAATCAAGGTTAAAAGAAGAACAAGAGAATACGGCGACTATGTCAGGATGACGATGGTAGCACAAAGTTAACTTAGAAATATTTCAAGACAAGTAAATTTTAAATACTTCAGGTAAAATACAGCTTCAAACACGGGCGATGCTATTTTACTTCAAGTTTAACTTCACGCAATTAATTAAGCTTGATTGACATGCTCCGCTTTCTTCAAAGCTCAAGAAACCGTAAGTTCGCTATGTCGGTTGTAAGGATGGTTTTCAAGTCACTTGAAACTTTTCGTGAAACGTTTCAATTTTCCCGGCGACTTTAATTACCTCAATAAAAGGCATTGTAAAGTATTTAGGCCATCTTGGTCTCCTGTATAAAGCCTTTTCTGTTCATATGAAACTTCAGACTGTACCAAAACGTTCCCTACCATAAGCAATCGAGCTTCTGGAAGGACTTGACAGTTACTTGGAAACAACAACGGAAAAAGCGTTGTCGCATAGCAACGATGTAAACGATGCCAGCACAGGTAAACCAAGGGGTTTTCAAGGAACTATTTCTAATCAGACAAAGCGTTCGGTTAACATGATATTAAATGGACTGAAAGATCTGGAGGCGTTAGTTAAAGAACATAACCCAAGCTTCGCCATTGATCTGTACTCTTGTCTAACAGTTCAGGTTGAAAACCTACACGCAGTTGGTCATTTCAAGGACCAGTTTCCTACCCTTTTGCAGTACGCACGGAATCTGGCAAATACCGTATACGAAAGCATTAAGCGTGTAGTACCCTGGAGTGCCTACTACTTCACACATGATAAATCATATTATCCCGTGTTGCGCCAGAGCACTCCACTAAATGCCATTCCGAAGCTGGAGCATCTTAAGGCAAGAAGGGAGTTAAATAGGCAGGAAAAAGACCTCATGATTGAGTGGGCGACAAATAATGGGAGGGCTGCACGACAGAGAAGTGTGAGACAAGAGACCACCATGTTCAAGGCCGGAACATTGCCGTTAAACATGTACAGAACATCAGACTATCCTAAAGATAAAGTCTCATTCAGCCCTAACACTGTCGAAGAGGAGACTGTTACTTCTGCTACGACCGTTACGACTGTTACGCCTTCTACATCGCACGAGGCCATTGAAGATGTTCAAGTAGTAGAGGAAGCCGAGGTAGAAGAGGAGGAAGAGTATGACACTGACTCAGACGCTGAATATCCTATTGCTGACAATTACGAGGTAGATTCTTTCGACGATTTGTTGTTTCTTCGGGCAGTTACAACGCGAAGTGGACGAATGGTCAGAGTCGTCCATCGAGAGTGATTTAGGTATGTGATTTCCGATAAGCAGCCTTTACTTAGCCTTTAACGATTTTTCTTTCTTCAAACACTCTTTCTACCGTAAGAGAAGGTTATTAAAACGAGTACCTTACTTGTTTATTTTCGTGATTCGGGAAAATGAAATTTTGATAGCCGTGATCCGTGATTCGCTGTTTTTTCTGTTCGTGAACCGTGCGAGAGACCCCCCCTGTACGACCCTCTTTAAAATCTGCTGGGTCCGGTTGTTCAAAAGTTGGATAAGACTATCCCTAGCTTATCCCTGGATTTTAAATGGAGATATCATCGTCGCAGTGTTAATTGCAATTTTAGCAATATTTGCAAATTATTAAAGCCAAGAGAGCTCATTCTCTCTGGTTGAAGCCGAATAAAAATTTCGGGACTTTAACGGGATTCGAACCTATGGCCTCTGTGTTAGCGCTGCAGTGCCCTACCCTTTGAGCTATGAAGACCTATTCATTGCGAGCAGGCCAATTTGATGAGGTCCGGAAATTTTTTACGGGTTAATTTGGAATTGCTTAAATTTTAATTACTACTGCGACCAGCATATCTTCATTTAAATTTGTATTGTCACAGTTCACATCATCTATACTATCCCCCGAATAAATCATTATCCAGCAGACTTCGGGAGAACTGGTTGGACATTTACGCATATCACTGCGGAGCCGTTGAGGTGGGCTAAACACTGAGGCAGAAATGTGCCAAGAAAATGGCATAGACTTTGGCACAGCTGAGTGACTAGAATCGTCATTTCGTTAGTTAAAAAGTGGAAAATCTTTAACATTATAAAGCGGATTCTTTCAGTTAAAGGGTTAGCCTATCATCCCAGCTAAATTTTAAGTAAAGTAGTGAGAATTGTATATGTGCAGACTTTTAACATTGAAAATCAGGCTTTGTACAGTATTTTCAGTGTCGAAAACGACCCTTGTCCAAGTTAGACATCGAATTTCTTCTTCTATTAGGGAAACCAACTTAAAAGGCCCACTTACCACACTTTCAAATATACCCACACTACCTGAGGGAAATCATCTCCAATTATGGTGACAATCGAACCTACTACAGTAAGAAGGGTCTTTGATACACGGGGATTTTCCCTGTTCATTGACCCGACGGCTATGCCATGCTGATGAGCCCCAATAAGGGCGAAACAGCTGTCCATAGCTGCCACTGCCCGGGTGATATGGCTGTGCGCATGCGTGAGGTACTGCCCAGGCCGTGGGTTGGTGTATGTGTGCCCCTTGCTTTAAGTTTGTCTTACAGTCCAAAGGTCCGATCGCATCACAAAATCTTATGTTAATAAGCATTTACTCAAAGCTGATTGTACATCAACATTTCCTTTAATGCATTGCATGTAGCACTATTCATGACAATTAAAACATTTCCATACTAACTCTACTTTGTTACAAAATTTTTAAGTGAAAGACACATTATTTGCGTTGCCGCTGTCTCTCCAGACCCGCTTGATACGAAAATAATCAAAAGAGTGCAAGTGTTCTTCTTTCCAACGGAAATGTCTCTTGACTTCAGCGCCTCATTGTCGGGAAGATTTCACTTATTATATTGTCCATTGTCCCGTTAATATCTTCCATGATATTCTGCACTAATCTTACGCTCGTTTGAAGCCCCATCATACAAATTACACGTCCCATCATAGGCGACTGCATTGTCTGCTTTGTACAACAAAGGCGCTCTTGCATCTTTGCCTGCATCAAACAGCAAATTTGTTCCATTATCATCATGTCCAATACAAAAGGTCCATTGAGTCGCTTTTTCACGGTAGACTCGGTATTTATCAATTCATCGCACACAGTTTTTTGAATGTAGGTTTTCAACGCATCGATAACTCTGCGGTCACTGGGCCACTCTGTCGGAGAGCAACTCATATCCATGGCTTTAGGAGGCTTCTCATAGAATACATCACCGGCCACTCTCAGCCACTGCCCTTCCATCGACGAGTCGTTGCTCGTATCCATGGGCTCTTCTTCGTCGTCAACTTCGTGGATCTCGCATTCCTCTTGCATTGGACATTCGCTCGTCTGCATGAAGTTAAGTTCCTCGTGAGATACTTGAAACATTTTTCTTGAAAAGATATAGTTCTAACAAACTGTTGTCTTGTAGTGCTGCTTATAACTGTTATGTGTCCCATTAGTACCTTCCTTTTATAACAACCCTATTGTTTTTTGTTGTTGTTGTTGTTGTTGTTGTTGTTTTTTTTTCTATACGTCTGCTCATGATCAACGCAACACATTGGGCAACGACAACGTCGTTATTCGTTTGGATCGATGTGTACAGGCAGTGAGGGAGATACATAGTCGGCCCCTAAGCCTTCTATGACTATGATCTTGTCCATCTACATGGACTACCTGTAAGTCCGCAATGCACGCAAAACCACCTTTCTAGTTCGACAGGCAGTGAGGGAGGAACATAGTCGGCCCCTAAACCTCTGGTGACTATGACCTTATCCATCTGTATGGAGTACCTGTTCGATGAATTTCAAATCATCTGCGAAATGGTTCACCGCTACTCTGGTCCCAGAGGTTTTTCTTTAAATTTTTCTTTGCGATGGAGCAAGCGAGCCACGAAGCGGTGACATCGCTGACAACGAGTTGCGAAGCGCAGAGGAGAGAGAGGGGTTTTTTTCCCTCTCAGTTTCGGAACGTCGATGTATTCATTTCCGGGAATCGGCGCTTCGAACACCAATTTCCATTTCGTGAATCAGTTGGTGCGCTACGTACCAATTTTCATCATAGACACCAATGTACAGCAGCCGTGAATAGGTTAGCCGGCAGTCTTCGTCGAAGGTAGATAAAGCGATCTGATTCGCCACCAATTTTCATCAAGGAAACCAGGCGATCTGTACATTTCCGTGAGTAGGTTTGCCACCAATTATCATCATTGACACGACGGTATGTACAGCATCAGTGAATTTCTTTCGCCGGCAATTTTCGTCGTACGGTGATCTGTACGTCAAGAGAAGACAAGGCGAAGTGTACATTCTCGTGAAACTGTTCGCCACCTCTTTTCATCATGGACACGACGATATATGTACACCATCTGCACGGGAAGACACGGCGATCTGTTGAATAAAAATCTATCACCGGGTGGTTAAAGCAGGGCCGTTCCAAGGACGCTCTGGGCAGCTTCTCTCAAGGCAACAGTGCTGTCTCTGAAATGTAATCAACGCAGTGACCGTCGGTGATGACAAAAAACTACAACTGGCGTCGTCCGTTTTGTGAAAAATCAAAATTTGTGTCGTGATGTCTCTTTTATAGTGCTAAAGTGGCAGTCTATTTATAACACAGCGGTTACGTCATCTTATAACATCAGGATCCGCGGACTTTCTTATTGGTTAAGCCTGGTTTTCATATGTCGGGAAAATCCCAGACGATCGGGGCTTTCCCTTTTTTCCGACCGTAAAGTCCCCGATCGTCTGGGATCTTCCCGACATATGAAAACCAGGCTTTAACAGCTAAGAATAGCTTGTGTTCTTGATATCGCGGATCTCGACCGTTTTTGCGATGTCGTTTCGAATTAATACATCTTTAATGGTCGTCAAGTACCAGTATATAAGTTGAAATTGAGTTGACGACCATAAAAAAAAAGATCTATTAATTCGAAATGACACCGCGAAAACGGTCGAGATTCGCTATCTGCCTATCTCACAATATCACGAAAACAAGCTATTTTTAGCTGCTATCCAATAGGGAAGTTCCCGAATGCTAAAATTATAAGATTACGTAACTTTTGTGTTTTAAATAGGCTGCCACTTGAGACATCAAGACACAAAGTTTGATTTTTCAAAACGGAGGAAGCCCGTTCTAGCTTTTGTCATCACGGACGGTCATTTCAGAGACCGTATGACTGCCGTGAGAGAAGCTGCCCAGAGCGCCCTTGCGACAGATTTGCAATCAACAGATCGCCGTGTCTACCCGAAGTAAAAATCGGCGGCGAACCGATTCGGGCGCAGATGATGTAAATACATATCGTCGTGTGCATGATGAAGATTGGTGGCGAACCGATTCGCAGATGATGTGAGATTGCTTTATCTACCTTTGACGAAGACCAGCGAAGATTGCAGGAGAACCGATTCACAGATGCTGTACGAACTCTGAAGATCGTCTTCCGTGCATTGCGGACTAACAGGTAGTCCATGCAGATGGACAAGATCATAGTCATTAAAGGCTTAGAGGCCGACTATGTATCTCCCTCACTGCCTGTACACATCGATCCACAAGAATAACCACGTCGTTTTGCTCATCAGAAGAAAAAATTTTTCTCCGTGCTACAGAAGACAAATCGGTTGTTGCTGTACATTCGTGTCTATGATGAAAATTGGTACGTAGCGCACAAACTGATTTACCAAATGAAAATTGGTGTTCGAAGCGCCGATTCATGGAAATGAACAGATCGCCGTCCCGAAACTGTGAGGAGAGAAAAAAACCCCTCTCTCTCCTATGTCATTGATTACTCCATATGTGACCAAGATTTGCTAGGAAATATAACATCTTTTGTAGTGAAAGAGCCGAACAGTTTATCAGATTATAGTCCAATAATAACATGGCTTAAGGTTAACTGTCATTTAGATAACGATTCATCAAACGAGGCAATTATAAATGATTCTTTGACTCCTCTACCAAAACAGTTTTTTTGGGAAAACGATTCGTCACAAAAATTTAGAGCTACATTACAGTCTGAAGACATTCAAAGAAAGATCCACGGTTTTATGAATACTACAACAATCACGAGAAATGTTGATATGAACCTTCATGCTGTAGAAAATATTCTTATTTCAACCGCCAAACGCTGTTTGAAGATCAAAACAGCAAAAAAGCGACGTTGCAAAATATCTTCGAACAAAAAATGGTTCGACAAAGAATGCCGCTATAAAAGACATGAACTGCGGAAACTTTCTAATCAAAAACATAGAGATCCTCTAAACAATACCCTCAGGGAAGAGTTTCACAACGTCTTAAAACAATATAAAAA